GCGGTGGAGAGACGGAGTGTTGTTTGGTCTCCGACGTTGTGTGGGGTAGGACCTCGGAGGTTGCAGCGGAAGAGGTTGGGATTAGAAGGATGGTGTTGATCACAAGTGGTGTGGCGTCTTTTTATGCTTTTGCCGCTTACCCTCTCCTTAGAGATAAGCATTACCTTCCTATACAAGGTAATACACAACATTTATACACGTCGTTTAAAGATTTATTTATTTATCTTACCAAAATTATCTGTGCCATGCTGGATTAGATATCAATTATTTATGATATATATTAAAGTGTACATTCTTTTTATTTACAATATGTAAGCAGCTGTTTTATTTGTATTTTTATTATATTAGACCAGGACCCTAAATATAATTATCAATGTTTGGACCGGACTTGAATATGGGTAGTAACTAATGGAATCACACAATTTTTCTATATTAAAATAGAAGTTATAACTTGTTGATTCATGTGTGATTTGGATCTTCACTAAAAACTTTTATTATATGTATTTTAATAAAACTAATAATATATAGAATCTTTAAAATACTCTAATCATAATATCTTTTGATATTAAATAAAAATATATTTATTTAAATTCTAACAAATCTGTTTTAAAAGATTTTTATATAAGATCTTCATTTTTGATGTTATCTTTAAATATTTTCACTAATATCAAAATTAGTTTGAAATATTATTATACATTAATATATATATATATATATATATATATATATATTGAGTTAACTTTATAAAATAAAAAAATAAAAAAGTATATCATTTTATCTATTATATAAATCATAATCAATCATATTAAAAATTATTATATTAAGCTAAATATAATAAAATTGTATTAAATTTATAAATTTTATTTTTGTAAGTATAAAATATTTATGTTCAAAAAAATTTAATATGTTGGTAAGACAGGTTAACATTAGCAAACTATATAATACATGTATATAAGTTAATATGTATTTCATTAAAGCTAATAATATAAAATTTTTATAACTACTTTAATCGTGTTATCTTTTCTTTTTAAATATAAATATATATTTATATATTTAATTTTAAAATTCTAATAAAAACTGTGTAAAATTGTGTACTATATAAGTTAATGTATGTTATGTTATCATTATAAAATGAAAAATTTAAATGATATCCTATTTGATTTACTTCATAGTCATAATCATCATGTTAAAATATAATTATTATATTAAAATAAACATGATAATAGTATATTAAGTTTAAAAATTTAAAATTTTTATTTTCATAAATATAAACTATTAATTTTAAAAATATAATATGATGACAAAATGACTTAAAATTAGCAAACTATAAAATACATACCAAAAAATTAACATATCTTAGACTTTTATATGTGCAATAATATATTATCTAAAATGAATAAACATAAAAATATTGGTAAAAGAAAATCCAGTTTTGAAGTTCGGATCAGAATTTACCATAAATTAAATATAAAATAATTTTCAAATATGTTTTCTCATGAATATATTAATTTTCTTGATAACTAAATGCAAATAAAATAAGATAAATATATAATAGAAGTGATAAATATATACGATTTTTAACAATTGATTAATATAAGTATATAACATGTACATTATAAAATTATTGTATTTGAAACAATTATATAAACATCTGAGTACATGATTAACATTAAAAATATATACCACTTATGTTCTAAAAAAATATTTATATATATAAAAGTGAAAAAAAATATCCGCGCGGTTGCGCGGATCAAAATCTAGTTATAATTTTTTAAAGAAAGTTTAATCTCTTTAGTTTCTTAAAGAATTATATAAAGTAGGGAGACTTTTATATGTGGGTCTTATTTAATTGTTAATAATTTGGGAATATAGTGACAGGCATGATGCATACATAATCCACTAGGAGTTTTCATATGCCATACAAAAATAATAATTTTAAATATAATATTTTTATTTCAAAAGAAAATTTTAGTTTATATTTGGACATTATTTTTTATATTTTAATTTCACCTATTTAGAAAAAAATAAACTATAAATTTATTTCATAGTCTTATTTCTTTTCATTAGTTTAACTATTTCAGTTTTATTTACTTTCAAAAGTAGTTTACATTTGGACATTGTTATTTTCCTATTTTAACTTTGTCGGTTTGGAAAAAATAACAACTTTTATGCCTTCTATGATTTGATTTGGTTTCACTATTTCAGTTTGATTCATAAAATTTAATTTTTAAAAGATAATTTTTATATTATATTTGGATTATTTTTTTAAAGCATGTTTTTGTCACCTAGTTATAAATATGTATTTATTTAAATATAAACTGTAATGAATTTTGGAATTTTTAGTTAAAATACAGTAACCTGGTAAATATTAATTTGTTAAATAATCTAAAAAATTTAAAATAAAATTTTAACCATTTAAATATCAACAAAAAGTATTTTATTAGTGTTTCTTTAATCTTATATTTGTTGATGCACACTTATAATTAATTTTGCTAAAATATATATATTTATATAAAATTTGATATATAATTTGATGTAAAAAGAATTATTTTAGTAATTATAATTATTTTATTTTCTTACTAATGTAATATATATATATTTATTAATTTAATAGTGATATATAAGTTATTAGTTATTAATGTATTTCAATAGTCTTGTCAGAAGTAAATTTTTATATCGAAAATTCACTGATGATATCTGAGTTAACAGTCAGCCATATTTATAAAATTTTGTCAAAAAATTATAAGGAAAATTATATATTTCATAATTAAATTAATGTCCTGTCATGTTTTTCAAAGACCATGACATCTATTATTTCACAAATAATGCTTAGGGATGATAAATTAGTATTATAGCTGCAATTTCTTCTCACGCAATTTCTAGTAAATATAATATATCTCCATATTTTTCATAAAACATAGTAATAACAAAGTAATTTCATTTGATAGAGCGCCTACAATATAGATGTAAACGCAAAGACTGATGAAAAATAAATACTGATGAAAAAAAAAAAAAACTGATGAAAATAAATACTATAAATCTAAATAGTTATGTATATATTTTGCTCAAGATTCTAGACTGGATGAGCTAGTGACCGAGCTTCCTCCTTTGAGAGTAAAGGACCTTCCGGTTATGGAAACGAACGAGCCAGAGGAACTATACCGGGCAGTTAACAACATGGTGGAAGGAGCCAAGTCTTCTTCAGGAATCATATGGAACACATTCGAAGATCTTGAAAGAACCACACTCATGGATTTTAGTCCCGAGTTTCAAGGTCTCATATTTCCTGTCGGACCGTTTCATAAACATAGCGAAAATATTCTTCTTACGACAAAGAACAAAGAAGACTATGTAACAACTGAATGGCTCGACAAGCAAGACCCGCAGACTGTGGCCTACGTGAGTTTTGGAAGCCTTGCAGATATAGAGGAGAAGGAGTTTCTCGAGATTACTTGGGGTCTAAGAAACAGTCAACGGCCGTTCTTGTGGGTGGTTAGGCCGGGGATGGTCCAAGGGACTGAGTGGCTCGAGTCATTGCCTTGTGGTTTTGTGGAAGACATTGGTCATAGGGGAAAAATTGTGAAATGGGTGAATCAGCTAGAAGTATTAGCACATCCTGCGGTTGGAGCTTTTTGGACGCATTGTGGATGGAACTCAACGCTAGAAAGCATATGTGAAGGTGTTCCAATGATATGTACACCATGTTTCACGGACCAGTGTGTGAATGCGAGGTACATTGTTGATGTATGGCAAGTTGGGATGATGTTGGAGAGAAATAAGTTGGATAAGAAGGAGATTGAGAAGGTATTAAGAATAAAGGAAATGGGAGAAGGAATGAGAGAGAGTTGCTTGAACTGGAAAAAGAGAGCTAGTGTTTGCTTAAGTGAACATGGATCTTCTTCCAAGTACTTAGAAAAACTTGTAGGTCATGTCCTGTCTTTTGATTCATATGCTGATGCAAGTTAAATTTCTTACAAAGGAGCAACGGTTTTATAGAACTTATCAAACCAATTAACTTTTGCATTTCTGTTTATTCTTACAATATTATTGTTGGTTTATTTTGTTATATATATGAAACTATTAAGGAATAAAAATAAATTGACTCATTGGGTTTTAAATTTTTTTGAAATAATACAAGCAGCAATGTCCATGAGATTTATTTCCATCTCATATGGAAGCTTAAGAACAGTGTCAGTCTAATGTTTGATACTGCCCCAAGCCAAATTTCAAAAGATGCCCTTGTAGCTCGTACATTTTATATTAAATCATTACCAACTACTGTACGTCTGAACTCGTAGAATTCTGTAAGAAACCTTCCAAATACAAGCACAATGTCCTCAAATTTTAAGACTCTGACAACTACGTAGCATAAATAATGTTTTTGGATTAATTTCTAGCAATCTCTTTCAAAATCCTTTATATTTTTTTTTCATATTATATCCATTGTAATAGTTTTGTTCTCTCACATCACCAAGATCTTATCCTAGCTTAATGCATCTTGGAGTGAATAAGTAAATATTTAGCTAAGAAAACTCTACATGTTTAAGGTTCTTTCTCAAAAATTAAAAATACAAACTCTACATGTTTATTAATACATTATTAAGATTTTTTTATAAAAATTTATGCCCTCTTCTAATCGGTGGTTTGGTGGCTTGCCTCCAAGGCCGGTCTGCTTAGAGCACCCACATTGATGAACCCCCCCTTGGGGGTTCATAGAAATAAAAAAATAATTTTTTTTTGTTATTTTCGTTTACTTTTTTAAAAAAAAAAAAAAATTAATTTTGGACCAATCATATGTTGACACGTGGTGAACCCGGGGTCATCGGGGTTCACCGCGGTGAACTTTTGAGAGAGGGGTTCATAGAAATCTAATTTTAATATTATTTTTTTTTCTCGGTTTCCGTGTGAACTCCCCCCATCAACCCTTGATGGGGGTGCTCTTAAGATCATACATTCCAGTCATGTAGGTATCTATTTTCCAGTACTAATTTGAAATTTCAGATTCTCCAATATTTTCTTATATATTGGATGATTAAACAAAAATTTGATGATGTATACGAAAGCCAATTCGGCGCCGAACAAACACGTGAGAGAAAGACAAAACCCACGTCCGGAAGAAGGCAAACCCTTGTTATGGGCGATAATGTTCTATGGGAACATGTCAGTTCAGCTCCATTAACCATCCGCAATCAGCTACACAATGTTCGGAACCTTTGATTTTTTTTCTTAAACATGGAACCTTGATTTTGATTTTGCTTTTTCTTTATATTTCTTATCAGTTTCTTTATCTTATCCCTTTCTATTTTTTTTGTTCAAAAACAAAAAAATCATCTCTATTATGATTTCTGTTATCTGAACTTTAAAATTCCATGTCCAGCTTATCAATCTTTTAAGATATACCTTTTCATTCTGAAAATGCTATATAATCAAATTAAAATTCAAAAGGAAATATATGTTTAGTTATATTTAGGCCTGGGTGTTTGGGTATGAATACGACTCATTCGGATATTGGTATTTTTGGGTTTTGAAATATGGTCTTATTCGGGTAGTATAAAATCCGGGTCGGGTTCGAGTCGGGTCTTCCCGCTTCTAGGTGGGTTCGGGTTTTAACCAAAGTACTCGATTCTCTTCAAGTATTTTATATCTAAACTATTCAAACTTATCTAAAAATAAGTAAAATCCCAAAAATACTCAATATATATGGTTCACTAATTGACTATCTATTTGTTCAAAAATAACCATAAATACAATGTTATTTGGGTATTTGTATCCAAAATATCAATTTCTATCTATAAATATCCAAAATAATTAATATATTCGATATATAATTTTAATTTTAGATATTATTATTAGTAAAGGTATAATTATAAATATTATTTTCCATATATATTTATATGTTTGGATATTCATTCGGTTCTTGGTATGGATTAGGTTCGGTTTTAGTTTTTTGGATTTTGAAAGAAGGAATCTTTTAGATATTTAGGCTATATCCGTTCGGAATGGGTACTCTGATTTTCGGGTCGGTTTTGGATTAGTATTTCGGATACAAATTATTATATCCAGTCCTAGTTATATCAGTAAAACAAAATACGGTTACTCCTTCCTTCCGAAAGAGAAAGATTTTCTAGAAACATTTTTTTTTAAATGCATACGAAAATATTTTCAGTTTTCAGATGTCAACATGTTTTATTAAAACTAACTGAACATAAAATAGAGTATTAAAAAATAGAGTACTTTAGAAAATGGTATACCTTACATTCTTAAATATTATTTTAGGAGTTGCCCAAAAAAAATATATTATTTTAGGTCGGTGAACCAAAAATATATATTCTTTTAGGTCTTTTCTTTGATGTGGGATTCGTGACAGTGATTCACAATTATCACATATTCGTAACACCTACTTTCATCAAGCTAAGCTAAGTAGCCAAACTTCGATTTGGAGCTTTTCGTTCTGTGAAATTTTGTGGTTGCATAGTTTATTTACAGAGCTATAGTTCGTTCTAAGCTATTATGAATTGTTATAGCACATCAACATCACATATCGTCAACATATACCCTAGCTTTTTTAAAAGAGAACCAAAAATTTATGTGGCTAATCAAGTAAATGTCATAATTATGTGGTTTGCTACTTTTCTTCTACATAACAGGATAAATCGAGGCTAATAACTTCTTTGGCCGAAACTCACCCCCCCTCCCCCCCAAAAGAACATTACCTATTCAATCCAATCACGTATAATAATGAAGTCAAATATGTTTTTCTTTTAGATATTGAGCTATAGTGACATCCTTACTGATGCGCCATAGACCCTGCCTAGGGTGGTGATCATGTCAACCCACTTGATCCAACTGAGGTTTTCTCATCAGATTGTGCTGATCACATGTACCGTCCCATCCGATCATGCCATCCGTATCGACCGTGCCATCTACCACCTCTTTCGTGAAGGACACCTGACGGGCCATACTAATAATCATTCTCTCGTCCTGATCCTTATCGCCCTGGACCCTATTAATCCGGATGAACCTAGACAGTACGTAGGTGAAGGGTTTCGTTGACCAGAACGTGAACTGGAGAGTCTTTAACAATAGGCGAAGAGTTTCCTTGACCAGAACGTGAACCGAAGAGTCTTTGACTCCTTTTATTATTTTCTAGTCAATATCGTTATTCCTTAGATGTGATTTTCCACAAAACTCTTAATTTTTTCTTTGACCATTGCTACTATAAATATGTAATTACATCACAAGAATAAAGCAATCAATTTATCTCTTTTCTAAATTTATCTCTTTGTTCTTTGTCTAAAACACTTTCTTGTTTCTTGGTGCCTAATATATAAGTAAACAATCTCCTTTTTCTTGTACTTGTGCGTTATATCAAACAGCAACTGGAGTTGGGAATGTCAACAGCCTTCCACAGTTGTTGTGCGATCCTTCATTCCATCATTTCTCACCCGACTCGTCTGAGTTCATATCCATTAAAAAAAAGTAATAAGATTGGGAGACAAATGTTGGACCCAATTTAGGCACCTATCTGAACAGGTCCAGACCCATTTGGAGTGATCGCTGACTCGACATCGAGCCGGACCCTACGAGGTTGAGGATGAGATTCCGGAGATTGCGGAGACGTTTAGAGGACAAAGAGGCTATAAAAGAGAGCTAGGATAACATGCATTTAGAACACACGAGAAAAACCCTAAAGCTATTCACTAATCACATAGACCTCATTCCTTAGATTTCTAGTTCGCTTTCTTGTAATCCTTGTTGTTATTTTCAATCTTGTTGTTCACCTTGTAAACAAATTCTACATTCAATAAAAGTCCATTTTTGTCAACCGAAGTCCGATTATATCGTTGTGTTTAAGAGCATCGTTTCCCACATCCTTTTTCTTCCCCTTATTGAACTCTCGATCTATACAAAATACTGAGTGTGGATTTTAGGATCTACAATAATCTTGGTCCGATCTTTGATGAAGAGGAAAATCACTTCAACTATCAAGCTCATGGTCCACTTCTTGTTACTAGGAGATCATTGAGTGTTCAGCCTGAAACCATTTAACGAGAAAAAGGGAGAAAATTTTTCACTCTAGATATTTGGTTTTAGAAATTTTTTGTTCTTTGATTATTGATGGTGACAGTTGCACTAACGCTGCTAGTGATACTTTTGTTAGGAAACTTGGACTTGAGTCCAAGCCACTCTCTCGACCTTTCAGGTTGGAATGGTTGAATGAAGCTGTTGCGCAATACACAAAGGAGCTCTTACCATTGGTCGATATGAGGATGACTTCCTTTGAAATGTCCTTCTCATGGAAGCTTTCCATATCCTTCTAGGACGATCATGGCAGTTCGATAAGAAAGCGGTGCATGTTGGTTACACCAACCGACATTCCTTTGAGCATAAAGGAAAGAAAATCACACTGGTTCCTTTGACTCTCTTGGAGGTCCATCAAGACCAGATGAAGCTGAAGAAGAGTCGAAACAAAAAAACCTAAACCGGACAAACCTGAGGTATCTCACAAGAATTCCAATTTCTTTATCAAGGAAAGTCATCCCAGGAAATCCTTGTACTCTCAACATCCATTTCTTTTGTTTGCTTATAAAGAAACTCTAATGACTTCTTCTGACCTTGAACCAGAGTTTTCGAGTGATTTGATAGATGTTTGCAGGAATTTTCAGATGTATTTCCAGATGAGAATCCTAAGGGATTTCCACCGATAAGAGGCGTATAGCACCAGATTGACTTTGTCCCGGGTGCTTCTCTTCCAAACTGTCCGGCTTATCAAACCAACCCGATAGAATCAAAGGAAACTTCAAAAGCAGATTGGAGAGCTTCTTGAAAAAAGCTACATCAAGGAAAGCCTTAGCCCATGTGTCGTGCATGTTCTCCTTGTTCCCAAAAAGGATGGTTCTTGGTGCATGTGTGAGGACTGCCGTGCCATCAACAATATTACGGTAAAGTATAGGCATCCAATGCCTAGGCTTGATGACATGCTTGATGAGTATCATGGTTCCTCTGTTTTCGGACGTGAAACGAATCGGTGGCTAATGTGTGGTTTTCAAGAAATCCAAATCCAAGGCACTAAACCAAGGTTTGTATTCAGATTTACCCATTCCATCTCATTCAAGGGTTGATGGACTTTGTGCTTGGATTG